ATGAAAAATTTTTAATGAGGAGATTTTCTTGTTTCCTGTTACTGGGAGAATTCAACAACTCCTCAATTCTATAAAAGAGCAAGCTTTATTCTGTATTCAATGAAATGTACAACAGAACTTGAATGTAGCAAAGACCAAACAGCAATGAGCGCGCGTATCATCAAAAACAGGCGACTTTATAGATTTGGTCAGCCAGAATTGATCAACTGTGGTTGGACCCAGATCTGACCTTATTTTGGGAAGGGTTGCGTAACCTTTGGCGCATGACTTGGTGGCAAAGCCCATCCACAAGGATGGGAAACAGAAAGTACACAGCAGCACAAAGCGTCATCTGCTAAGGTGCGAAGGAACGTCAGAAAGTATTTGATGACACTATACTCAAATATCAGCCACATCGATTTTTCATAGGGTACACTTTTTTCTAAGAACTGTGGTCTTTACGGAGTGCAACTATGGTTTTAAAAATATATACTGTATATATATATACTGTATGTGTATTTTGCTCTAAAATCAGATTTTCTTCCGATAAAACTTCAACTTCAGAAGTACAGTATCACCCGCCCACCCACAAGAAAAAAAAAACCGCAGTGGTTATTTTCATGCACCAGAAGTCTCACAACCGGATCAAACGAAGGCCGATACTCTGCATAAAACACGGATACACAACGAGGGAAACCCCCCACCCCCACTCATGCACAGTTTCTGCAACAATAGGTCACATGTTCTGCGGGTGTTTCATATTCCTTTCCCGAAACCTTTCCCCCTCTCGGAAGGCAATCCAGGTTATCGACCCAACATTAAGAATATACCTGCTGGACAACCCGGGTCGGGTCGCGCAGAGACCCAGGCATTCAATTAGAGAATAAGTCCCGCACGAAACTCGCCGTTTAACTAATTAGCTCGGACATTTACGACGCTAACATTTGATTTCCGAGCGGATAATGGGGCGTACGATAGGAACATGGAGAAAACTTGTACAGTATCTGACTTTTTGGAAATGACCGATCAGTAAATAATGTACTGTACAGTAAAAGGTCGTAACAACGCCATCTGGACCAGTAAAATAGCTTCGTTGTGAAAAAATACATCATAAAGAAACTCATATACCATTGTGGTTATTGGACAGGGACATAAAAAAAATTACTTCTTTGTAACGAGATTCTACTGCAAAAAAAATTGCTGTTAAACTAATTATCCTGGACGATTCCGAAGTTGAAATCTGATTTCCAAGCCGAGTGAAGCGTTCGATAGGAACATATAAAATATCTGAATTTTTGGAAAGCAACGATAAATAAAATAATGTAATAAACATGCTGTTTGAATAATTAGCTTCGACAATTTCGAGGTTGAAATTTTGATTTCCAGGCCGAGTGAAGCGTTCAATAGGAACATATAAAATATCTGAATTTTTGGAAAGCAACGATAAATAAAATAATGTAATAAACATGCTGTTTGAATAATTAGCTTCGACAATTTCGAGGTTGAAATTTTGATTTCTAAGCGAGTGAAGCGTATGATAGGAGCATAGAAAATACTGTATCTGAATTGTTTTAAAGGTCCGATCAATAAATAATGGAATACTTTGCTATTTGACAGATTAGCTTGGATAATTTTGAGGTTTAAATTTGATTTCCAAGTGGAGTAGAGCATTTGATACGAACAAAGGGTAGATAATATCTGATTTTTTTTTATAAGACAGATCAATGAACAAGATAATAAATCGCTAGTTAACTAATTAGCTCGGATAATTTCGAGGTTGAAATTTGATTTCCAAGCGGAGTGAAGCGTTTGATAGAAACACGCAAAATATCTTATTCTTCCGGAAAAGACCGATCAATACATAAGGTAATAAATAACTCGCTAGTTGACTAATTAGCTCGGATAATTTCGAGGCTGAAAATATATTTCCGAGTGGAGGTTAGCGTTCGATGTAACCATTGAAAACACGTGCAATTTTGGAAAGGACCAATCAATGAATAATATTTGACGTCGGATAATTTCTTTTTTTTTTCAAAACCGATTTTGCCAGCATCACGAAAACACCAGAAAAAAATGTCATTTTTCTAAAACTTCCTCTGTTTGCCTCATTCATTCTGATTTCTTTCATTTTTGTTAAAATCAGAAATAAAAATAAATCGACCTGCAAAGTTTGTCCTCGAATCAACAGTAATTTATAACAGAGCCTTTTCCAGAAAATATTTCTAGGATGAAATACCGGAAAACTACCAAACGTCATAAAATCATTCAGTTGCTTTTCGGAGTTCGAAACTTCTTTTTTCATTACTTGAAACCCACGAGTAAGAGACATAGAAACGCTCGCATTAATTTTTCGCAATTCGTGATTTCAAAAAATTGGCGTTTCTTCCAAAATTTAAAATTTAATCTTAAAATTTTCCTTCTTCCTTTTCCGGGTTTCTACAGAACCCCTGCGTCAAAACCCCCTAATTTAGAGTGGCAAAATTTCTTAATTTCGAGACGAAAAGTAGGATACAGTAGTTAAAATGTGTCTTAAAAATTGACCAAAAAGTTTCGGCAATGATTCCTCGATCGGTAAAAAATTGTTTGCAGGAACGGAACACAGTTGGACTTTCTCCCCTTTCCCTAGTACAAAACTCAGGGTATTGTAAAAAAAATAAACCGCTGTACACAGATTATCACAGTAAAAAAAGCTCTTCATCAATCGATGAAAGATGTGCCAATAACGTCGTGTAAGGAAAATGGCTGCTTAAAAAAATTTTTCTTGAATAAATGCGTGAAAATATTGATTCTTCTGCAGAACGCGGACATGCCTGGGAATTCCGCGAATCTTTCAGATTTTCCTCGAACCAGAAACAGGATGAATTTCTCATGCAAATCCGAGGCATTCATGGAACACAGAATAAGTATCTCACAATGACATTACTGTATACTGTACATATACACACATTGCGAACGAAATCGTGTGACTCGAAGTGATTCCAGTCGGGTGGCAAATGAAATATGGGCCTCATTAAGTTATCGCAGAAATACGTGAAAAGGCTAGCATGCAGATTTTTTTTTACAGCACATAAATCATCAGACCGTTTTGTCAATACTGTACACCCTTAGCGTATATATATATATGTAACAAAGAACGCGTACTCGAGGAATTTCAATTCGGCACTACTGTATAAGAGAACATTATTCCGCGGATGAATTGCTTTTCTGCATAGGACTGAATATAATGCGGTTACTCACGCAAAAAAATAATTTCAACCTACGATGGGTTAACCGCTGCTTTCACAGGCGTCACGAACACCGAATTAATGTGCGTCAGGAAAGTTATTTCGCCATATTATTAGCTTATGATTAATTAGTTCAAGGGTTTTTTAATTACGTTTAGCATTGCAATGTGTTTGCTCAGTTTACAGATTTGCGTTATTCACACGGATGATACGCGCTCAATCTATCTTCACAAATTGCGGAAACACGAGGTAACAAGTGTAAGGACTATATCACAAAAAATATCTGGCACTTATTTCAATTATAGTAGAATTGTGTTACAGAGAATCTTGATGAAACAAATGGATGTTTATGATATGAATTATTTTTTCAAATTTCTGTCCAATAAGAGTTTTTAGGAATGTTATAAATATAAATGAATAAATGAAACTAAATACCGTATTTACTTGAGTACCACACGCACCTTTTTTCTCAAATTTCAGAAGAAAAAAAGGGGGACACGTCATAAGCAGTTACACATTTTTCAAGAAGTTTTAGGAAGTTATGACACGTAATATGAATTAATATTGCCTCTTTAAAACTTGTTTACATTGTTCTTTTGAATTTTGTACAGAAAAAGTTTAAAATTGATCAGATTTTTGTTCAATTCATGCCTCAAGTCAAAATTTTTGAATTTATTTTCGAAATTTTGTGGTTTTAGATTCACTAAAAATTGGGGTGCGCGTCTTACTCGGGTATAAGATTTTAGCCAAATTTCCAAAAAAATCTCCTGGGCATGCCTTACTTGGGGGCACGTGGTACTCAAGTAAATAAGGTAGTTCAGTTGGGCTACAACCAGGGTGAAATTTCACCCATTATAATGTTGTTGTAATTTGGATTTCAGAAACACACTTCCAAAATCTTGCAAATTCTCTCACAAAACAAAAGCAAGAGCTCAGGATGGAATGATTCAAAAAACAGTGAGAGTGAAAACAGGAAAATTATCCTTCAAGGATAAAGTAAGAGTTTTGTAGAATATAACTGTTTGAGTTTACCTGAAATTTGGCAATGATGCCAAACCTTGGAGGTTCAAGAACCAGAGTTTCTCCCATTTCTCAGGAAGATCTACAAGGACAAGTTTTCAGAGAAGGCTGATTCTTGTCTTCAATAATTTAGCGTGACAAATTATACCTATGCCGTTTATTTTTGCAACAAGAGCTATGTTGAACGAATTTTGGTATAATGATTTTCTTTCGTATAATGAAGCTTTTATGAGATACCAATAGATTGATTCCTTATAACAAGATATCACAGTGTAATTACAAAAAGTTCATCCAGAGACAACAGAAACATTTTCGGGCCTCAATTGATGGTTGAAGAGGGTAGGCGGTTAGCAAAAAATTCAGAATAATACGAAAATCAAGAATACAGTGCTATGAAACAAAATTCTTTTTTTTTTAGAAAAAAAAATCCACGTAACCTCGGGATCCGTGAATTATATCTCCAAAAAAAAGTAAATTACGACACATTTGCTGGTTTGTGTGTTTCATCTTAATTCGAGACCTCTCAAAGAAACTTGAACCATATTGACAGGTTATCAAACACTAAATTGATCAGCACGAGATTATTTGAGCTATCAATAATTTTTGTCAGATGGCATTTCAACACGGTTTCCAATGATCCTCATTGAGAAGATTCTTTAATAAATCGGCGGTTGCCAAGGTCTGTGGACTATTTGGGTCGCCTTAAATTCTTAAAAGGGGTTTGGCTGTACAATGTCGATATTGTACTTTGATAACAATTATCAAAAGTCTACTCACCGAAATTCCTGCAAAAAAGGGGCATAGTTCACATCTGCTGTTGAGACAAGATGTCCTCCATACTGTCATCAGCAGTCACGGAACTCGACATCAACACAATCTCCACGCAACTGGAATACAGTGCAAAATAATTGACCCCATTTGTTATTAAAATATACTGCCATCACAAAGCATTCATCTCAATAATGGAAACAAAACCGCGATGTTAAACGACACCAGATGCATTTCGTGATCGGAAAAATACACGGCGTTTCAAAAGCCAGGTCCGAACGGCTCTTCTCATCAACACAGAAACGTAATTCACAGGTGATTTTTTTTTGCCACAAAAAAAAAAACGCAGAAGTTTCAACACACCAGAAAAGCTAGCACCTTCGCATAGGCGTGTTTCTTTTTCGCTGCCAAAAGATAAAACAGTTAGGCCATCACACTTCGAAAAAAAAAATAACCAACAACATCAATGAAAACCATGGCGAGGAATGCCAAGATTGTGTTATAAAGCACGAGTCGCACGGGAAAGCATCACGTCAATTCAAACGAGAACGGCTTCCCTTTTTCTCTTTTCTGCCAAACTTTGATTCGGGTTGCAAGTTTGCACGCACAAAAATTTATACAAACTTTTTTTCGGCTCGGACAAATCTTCCTTTTTCAGGAAGAGTGAGACAAAACAAAAAAGCGAAAAAACCGCACCCAGGACTTTTTTTTTTGGGTGAATAAAAAACTTGCACTCACTTTCCGTTTTTCTTCCGTCTCTAAATTTGCCTTTTGAGCGTTAGTTTTTCCACGTCTCGCAAAAGAGAAGAGTTTTCCTACAAAGGGGGATAAAAGGAAGGCCAAAAGACCGAGGGATTCCGCGGGTAATGCAACTAGAACCGTTCCGAGACAACACAGCAAGTGAACATTAGTTACAATCACAATGCACAGGGAAGCCAAAACAAAATAATGACCCCCTTTTCTCCAGTGCATGGAATACGGACATTAAATATTCCGACATACACGGGCTTACGAAACATACGTTTCGCTTTTTAAAAAATCGACTGCCTTTCCAGCAGAAATTGGGTTGATCGAACCCTGCTAGCACTTGAGAGGCTGACCATGAATAATCCGTCCAAAGAATCTCGATTCATGAAGGCTTTTCTAACGCACGTTGAGCTACTGTAATCATATTTTGCTACAATACTTTGTCCACTCAGCGTCAATAGTGGTTTTCTCGGGTAGATGTCGCTTCATTACAATTACATATTCAAGTCACGGAGCTGCAATCTGCACGGGAACTACGGAAAGTTCCCGCGGGTTGCGTTACACAGGCAACAATTACATTGATTCAAATGGAATGTTCAGGATTAATTCGGAGACTACAGGCCTCAAAGTTAAATTCGAAAACTTATTTAAACGCAGGAAACATCATGGGAACTCATTCTTATAGCATACTACTGTATACACATAACTGCAGCCTTTTCACGAACATGGGTACTAAGTGAACTGAAGAATGTCCAAATAATTCAAAATTTGTTCATGATACTTTGAACTTTGATAACAAATGTTGTGCTCTTTCACTTCAAAAAAAATTATAAAACAAAAATTGTACATAGCAAATTTCAGGCAGAAAAAATCGACGTTTCAGATAATATTCGAAAACATTCATCAACCAAAGCCATCTCAAGAATTGCTGCGGAAATGTGCACACCCGCAAGATGTCGCTCCTAATTTAAGCGTTCGCAGAACCTCATTTCAGTAACGCATTACTCGCAATGCTTATCACCGTTTAGAATAGATCAGACCACCTGCATGATCGTGCAACATAAAATAATTTCAATCACGCGTCAAGATCATTAAGACCGACTATTCTCAATTGATATCTCCGCAACCCAACTGCAAGCAAGATAAGATCAATCTCCGAATTTTCTCAACACGATACACCGAAGTGTTCGAGCATTGCTTATATGACACAAGCCGAGTTGACACTTCTTATTCTCAATTCGAGAAGACGAGATAAATCCTACTAGAAAACACACTGGAACACAGAAGTTCTGCTCGTTCGGCATCCAACAGTCATCGAAAAATACTCGAACTTGTTCCAAGAAAAAATACTTCCGGACCACGAGTTGTATCTAAATAGACAATACTATGAGCGCATAAAAATGCGCTGAAAAAAAAGCACGTGCTTGCGTAGAAAAATGACAGCGAAGGATATGTTGAGCTGGCAACATCACCGCTCGACAACAGCGCTAGATCATACTTAGCACGTCATGAAATCAAAAAAGAAATCCGTCTAAAAAAGAGGCACCACACAAATCGTAGAAACGCAAATCAGCAACTAATAAATGACCCGTTTGATCAGCCATCTTCCGGCTATTGGCTTCGAAGAACACGAGTTTTTCCTCGAAATTCGAACAGAGAGAAAAGAAAAAAAAACAACTTAAAGCTAGAACATTCCAAAAACTTGACTACTGTTCAAGCTATTTCCAGACTAAATGTACATCGCATGATTCATTTGATTCAGGCGACAGCCTACGACAGAGAAAGTAGACAAAATAATGCACAAAACCGACTAGAGAGTTGAAGCTTTTTCTAAATGTGAACATCTCAAAAGAAATCACTTGACTAAACCCCAGGAAATACAAAATTTCTGCACAACGAAATATTTTGCAGCGTAATACAGATTTTAGGCATCATGAAGACTGGCACATTTTGGATGTCTCATAGCGAGTAACGCTTAACCACGGACAACGTCTCAACTGTTGAGAACAGTAGTGGAAATACTGCATTATAAATAAATTTTTTACGCGTTGAAATAAGTTCTAGAGCAATAGAAGTACAGTACTCAATTAAATTATCCAAAAGAAATATCCATTTCACAATAATAAGTGACCTCGAAAGTAAACCAAAAGTTCTAAATAACCTCGAACACATCTTCAAAAAAAAATTATAAATTATTTTAATTTCTGTTTGAGAGGATTAAAACCATCTTTGAAACGAAAACCGACAAAATAATTCGCCCAAGTCCTTCGAGAACACTTGGGAGTTTCAAAAGTTTTGGCAACAAGTAGTACCGTAAAATTAGAGACAAAAATTGTACTTCATATTCAAGCAGTCTTCCAGAAATGATGCACACAAGTTTTACATTACAAGAGGTAATGCAAAAAAAATCCCATCACGTGTAGTAAAGCTCGGTAAAACGGTAAGCCTACTTTCGAAGACTTAATTTTCGTCTCGTTCCGATAGGCCAGCGTTTCCTCCCTTATTTGCGTCATGACAGATGTGAAACAAAAATGGACACAGAAGAGTTAAAAATGAAACCAGTAAAATGATACTGTAGCTGCAGAATGCATGAAGTTTCTCTCAAGGCATGAAAAGGAGAAGGTTAACCAAGAGTGGCTCACGGAGAAGATGCCGAAGTTTCTGCCTTTTCTTAATCTATCACCGCCCATTCTTCCGAATATATCATTCAAATTGGTATTTTAGCATGCGAGAGAAGACAAGTGCTTAAGAGACAATGCTGGCGGACGTTCCACTCGGCTGTTCTCGGCGACACCTTCTCCATCTCCAACCAGGGGACTGCGCAGAATCCGATTTGGCACAAGGTCTTCTCGCAGAGCGGGTTTCAGGCCTGGTTCCGAATAGCAGGCCATGGCATCACACAACTGCAGGGCAACACGATCCAGCCATCCGTGTTTTCGAGGAATTAGTAAGCCGCCTTCAAAGAACGCCAGGTGCCCGCCGTTCAGCGTTTCCACGTACATGCAGTTGTCAGTACTCTCTGAGTAAAGAGGAAAAAAAAAATTGAAAGAAAATACTGTGCTCCGAAAAAATACAAGTTCGAACGTACAGGTTCATTAAACAATGGGAGACAGATCTCCTTATACGCATCGTCGCATCACAGGGGTGCGGGGTGTGTTTCGTTTCCGCGCGAGGAATACTGTACATTACATGGCTTTGTTATCTGTGCTTCACGATAATTATCATAAAATTCAATTTTTTTTAAGATACGAATTGTAGCTAAGGATACTAATTTTTTTACAATTTGCTAAGCCCTGTGTCTCTTTGATAGAAAAATCAAAAATCACGAACTGCTGCACTGCCCAAAAACGTCCTTTGGCATACATTCTTTCTTCTTCAAATTTTTTTATCTAATAAATGAATTGTTTTCATTACATATTTTTCTTGTTTGTTCATTTGGTTTTTTATAAAATAAAATTGTAAAATGGCCCATTATACAACCTGACACCTACATTGAATAATTCCGAAATGCCGATCAAAGCTGAATTTGAACACAAAAGTAGCTTCTGAATACCTGCAAAGGCAGGGCAAACAAAAAGCACATTACAGTGCCTGAAAATGTCGTCTAGTACTTCATCTCTACCACAATGTCTATAAAAAAGGCTATTCCGCATCACGATTTGAATAGGTACCCTTTTTTAAATCACTGCAAAGAATTTTCTTCAAGATTTATTTTCTATATATTTTTACTTAACCCTCTCATAAAATAAGATTACCACATCGCCTAGAAAATCTGAAAATACCGTTCAGTACTTTAGTCAATACTTGTAAGCAGGCGTTTTCGACTCATGGGTTAAAGATTTTATCCTTTTTTGTCGTTGCCAGCACATTTCGTGCTTCATCCGATATTTTTTCTGTCGAGGTTTTTATATTTTGAACCTTCCACGAAGTACAGATTCAGAAATAAAATCAATCTTGAAAACGTCATGGATGACAATTCCCTGAATATTCACTTTCGTAGGGGTTGAATCCAGATAGAGTACATGAATTTGAAGAAATTTAATATTTCACAGTGGAAAAGAAGTATTGAAATACTGTATTTTTATTTGAATGTTACAAAAAGATGGAGTGCGCGGCAAAGTTTCAAGAAAATTACCTCGTACGTAATTTAGCATCTCTGTAATTTAGCGATGCGAACAGTTGTTTTGTCTTTGAGAACTGGTGCATAAACCTCATGCCCCTGTTGAGTTTCGATACCATTTCTATTGCTCAGAAATGGAAGACTTTGAAGCAAACTTCTAAAAATTGTGCGTCAAAATAAAGAGTGAAAAAAATTCAAGTTAAGAAAAAGCTAAAACTGAATTTTCAAGCTAAAATAGGAAAATAACGTTTGAGTAACTCAGTATCCTCCAGCTGATAAGAAAAGGTCGTTCTCACTTCAAAAAAAATCCGGGTTTTAAAAATATGATGCGCATAAACTTCTTTTTTTCTCGAAGTCTTCGTCCGTTGCCGCAAACAATGGGGCAATTTCTGACTCATAGCGTTTCTCCGAAAAATACACGAATATTCCCAGTTTTCGATGACTCACCCACATGTTCCCGTATCTTCTCCAACAGCGTCTCCGGAACAATCGGATCGTCGGCCGAATTGAGGAAAACGATTGGACGCTTCACCTTTTTCAGGACGTAATACGAACTCAGATCTCGATACATTTCAGTTACATTGCTGTAACCAAGCACTTTCCTGGTTCCCAGAAGAATAAAGAAAAGCCATCACGAGCTGCAACCGGATTAATGGCGGAAACCGACACACCTCGTGTATGCTTCATCAAAATCCTTCAAGGAAGTCGACGCGGATATCGCAGCTTCGTCAATAGCAAACCGTTCCTTCACTTCTGAACTCAGAAGTATGGACTTGTGCCTCCAGATCAGCTTTTTCATCCCAAGCGTCATGATGAACACGTAAATCCGGCGGAGATTCTCCCATTGCAGAAATGTTTCTCCAACCCTGAATGACACCTTCAAATTAGTCAATCCGAATTTACAACATTCGGGCAAAGTGGAAACTCAAACATTAGATGAAAGGATCGTTCGTAAATCATTTCCAAGCGAGATACGGTTCCGTGTGCCGGATTTTCCGTCCTATGCACTCGTACACATTCCATTCTCATTCTCGTAGAGAACGTCGACCACCTGTGCGAGCAGACCTCCATGAAACCAATGCTCAACACTTTCACGCTGTTCCACCATATGTTTGTCACGCAAACATTTTCGACGGAACAGCATTTCTAAAAATTTCCTCTCTAGCTGAGTTACATACAACAATACCGTACTTCCCCAAATTACAAGCCTAATTCACGGTGATTAACGCGCTGCAATATTCTGAGTAAATTACTAAAACCACATGGTCATGAAATATGCTGTAAGCGAACATTCGAAGTACTGTTCAGTGAGTCCCTGCATAACAAAAGCCTCACACAACGAAAAATAAGCATCACGAAATTTCGTACGTGACTCACAAAAAAAAAACTGCTTCCCTCGACAACAATTTTTTGACTGGAAAATCCCCCACGTTTTGCAAGTTTTGAGCTGACATTTTGAATTTTTCAAAAAAAGAAAACATAAAGTAAGATAAATTACAGAAAAGGGGCGTATGATTGCCTCCTCTAGTGGGTTAAATTTCTTTCATCTCCGCAATATAATGGCAAAAATTGTAAGGATCACCTATACAGTAATCAACATTGATCAAAATTAAATTCACAAATGAACGCTGAAAACTGATAATAAAATTAGGTCAGTAAAGTTTGCCAGGGCTTTCGGTGAATTTATGAAGCAAATTATTCAATTTTCAATGTAATCTTAAGGGAAATCGCGTTTCGCGTTACGAAAATCCCACATGATGAAACGCATCCAGGAAAGGATTAGTTTCGTTACTGTATATGGGGACCAACCGTGTTGTATTCACAAACACTAAGGTATGCTGTATTTTTTTATTTTCGGATAGGATTTATAAAGCGTATTCAATGATTTTCCTTCTTCCCTCCTTGGCTTGGACTAAATAATTTCAAAGTAAGTTTCGTGATCTTGAATTGAGCTTATTTCAAGTGAATGGTGTCATTAAAAAAAACTGGGGCTAGGATTTCGTTTTTCTTCCGTAGGTCATATTTTTGGAGAAGCACGGCGAAAGACAATCTAAGATTCTAAGTCGTCACTAAAATAATGAATCGACGGGGGGAAAGCAGTATTTTGAGGACTCACGCAACGGCGTCGTAAGCTTGACAAACGGAGATTCCACCAACAACGCGTTTCCAGGGCTCGTCACCCGCATCACCAGCGGCATTCTTAATTTTATCCTTGCTCTTCTCAGCATCAAAACAAGAACTAGCCAAAAACCGAGTCACGATGTTCCCGCCCATACTGAATCCGAAACAAATTATTTTTGTGCTGGAGAACTGCACAAGCAGCTCTCTAACCATGGTCTCCAGCTCCGTGGTACCACCTGCACAAACGGGATTTGAATTACTGCAATTTACGTTCGGAATACCGATTGATATAATAACGTACCATACGAGAAAATTCTAGGGGTTTGCAATAACACCGATGAGATGGTTCCAATGTGGTTCAGGACTGCACATCGGTAACCCTGTCTCAAGGCATAGTGAATGAACGCTCGTATGTAAACGGTATCACTGGAGTTTCCAATACCGGGACATATGGCCAGTGTCAAATCCTCTGGAAATATTCGGGAATTGTCGTTTAAATTCAGATGCCATACATTCCGAGAAAATTTTCAACTTATCTGCCAATCGAACAGAAAAAAACATTTTTAGGCGAATCCAACACTTGAAATAATCTCTAGCGTTTCACAATGCGTCAGAAAATAGGGTTCAGGGATCATGGTGAACCTTGAAATTTTACCCGTCATATCATTCTTTAAAAATCACTCTCGACGAGATTATAACCAAATCTTATCACAAATTTGCGCTTTGCATTTCATGTTTTTTTGAATTTGGTCCACATTCTTTGAGCTAATCTCCGATAGTTGATGTTTTATGAGGCAATAAGATCGTCATTCGAATGGAGACACGTTTTCGGTTCATTCCATGAACTGATCCTTACACGGACAGACACTTTTTAGGCCTTTTTAGAAAAAAGATTCGTCTTAAACATGCGTAAAAAAAGTTATTTTCAAAAAATGGATGCATGTTATGCAGCATAACAAATTTATCCAGGTCCGAATAAAAGCAAGTATTTTGTTCAATGAAGGCTCGGAATGTACATGGTATCACCCAAGTAGTCGTACCTTCCGAGTGATGACCAGTGTAAGGAGTGTACACGTCGTATGACATCAAGGCACCGTCCCGTAATGTCACAAAAAATCTTTCGCCTTCACTTCTGGGTGCGTGCACACGTCCAATTTTACTGTGCACAATCGTCTGCATATGTCCACTTCGACCCCAGATGGCAGTCGGGATGTAACTAACGAAATATGGGAATATACGACGCTTGAGCATCGTACGACTCGATACACCGGCATTGAAAGAACTAACCTCTCACATAAAATCGGACAACTTTTCACGAAGTAGTCTATGAAACGAGAATCACGCCCATAGATTTTCGGCTTTTCCGGAGCTTGATTGAGGTGCATGACTTTATAGAAAAGAAAGAGCACAATAAAAACAAAGAGGTAAACTAGAGCCATCGCGCGGTCGTGGCTGAGCCACTTGCTTTCACCCTCACGAAAGATCGCGATCACCTGCGAGAAAATGATTCAGATAAGACAGATCAACTAAGAGCCCTTCAAGAAGACGATACTAATAAATATTCAGAACAGTCACAGATCAATAAATTATAACGCAAGCTATCATTTTCCACGTTTCACGGATACAAATACGAAAATCAGTTGAAAACTAAAAATCTGGAACGTTGCTTCGCCATATTTTGTCCATGTCCCTCGAGATTCCCTCGTAAACTTTCCGAAAAAAAATTCAAGGAATGGCTGAACGCGGATTAAAAATGCCACAACATTCGTGCAAAAAAGAAATATTCATGTAGAAGCGGAAGCAGCCGTTTGAGCTTCAGGCAGAAAAAAAAAAACTGACGAACACGACAATTTCAATCTAGCCAGGCTGATCACTGTTACACTGCATTCAGGCAAGCACTTAGTTACAGCATATAAGCTTTCGTATGTCTGTGGTCTCCTTCCAACGTGATTCTCGATGTGAGGTATTATTCACAGTTTCTTAATGTGCCTTGATTTCTTGACCAAGATGCAAAGCCTCGAAGGACCGATTACTTTCCTCTGAGCAATATGACGAAGGGAGACTGGACTCTTTCCGAAGACGATCTTCTCATCGAACACCTGCAAATAAGAAGAAAAAAAAAGTGTTACCGTAGGAGCATTCACTACGAAATTCAATCGAAAGTCAGATTTACACATTTTCGCAAGAATTCGCTTTCAAAAGTCAGCGCGCGTCTAATCCATTGCACTAATCCAGTTCAGCATTTATTGCTGGTCTCTGGCAAAATGTGGAAATATCACGGCATTGTGGCGAGGAACGCAAGTTCCAAACAAAGTAATCTTTCATATAACCCAATAAAGTAGTCATGCATGAGCGGCATATTCCAGATATACTGAAGACCCGTTCGTAAACGTGCGTTGAAACATCAAAATTGTGCTTTACATTCACATGCGAAAATCCAGATGTTAAGAGAAAACAGAAAACAAGAAGGTGTGTGAATTTTAGTGAATGCAGATAGCACAAACCTCGCTTGATCTGGGCCACTGCTCAAAATTCGGATGAAGAAGGGTGCCGTTTACGAATAAAACGTTTGCCGCGGATTCATCGGGCACAGTGAGTTTTTCATAACGATACGTGGCTTCTCGCTCCATACGCTTCAAAAGCGTTTGTGATGCATAGGACATGGAAACACAAATCAGATCTGGTCCGGCCATGGTAACGAAGTCTTTAAGTCGACTTGTCTCTTTATCCATCTTGATTGTTGTCACCGGGAATTCCGGAAATGCTGCAGCAAGAGCTATAGCTCCTTTTTCATTCGTTCCACTTGAAAGCCCGACAAAAAATTCACGACCTAAGAAAATTCCCTGATCAAATAATCCCTTCACAAAAACTCAATCCGGCATTCCCACCAGTGAACAAGACGTCACCACCATCGAGGAATGAATCGGGGTCAGTGATGTCCATGACTGGTAATTCCAGTTCTTTCTTGAGGATCGCACGCACCGTTTCAACCTGGAAAAAATTTTGAAAAATGCAAATGCTTCAATGGCATTTCTGTGATCAACATGAAAAAACTTACTTCGCCACGGCGAGCAGGATTACCAGGTCGACAGATCAAGGCTATGCCATTGCACACCACAGCGCAATCTTCGACCAACGGACACCATGGATATTGCTCGTCGGGGGGCATTTCAATCACATCAAGACCAACACCTCTCAAAATTTTCACATATTCTTCAAACTCACGCTTCGCGGCTTCAAACTCGGTCATACCATCGATATTCACCACGCCTTTCCAGGCGTTTGGAAGACGGCAGACAATTCCGTGGGTGAAGCGGAACGCCGACATTCTAGTTCGCGGAGCATAAATAATGCATTATGACAGATAGTAAGACACAGGATGTTCCACTTATGGTCGGGGAAACCACATAGGGCAATCGTTAAGTACGTACGCATCCGTCGAAGGAATTACGAGCCTTACGCAAAAATTAACAAAAACTTGTCAAGTATACAATGCTCCGCATCAAAAATTCCACTCCATGAATGGATTCTGCAAATCCCGGTGAAACACTGCAACGCATATCTGGTATAATACGTTCAGAATTTTAAAAAACTTCCAGCGACTCCACGTGCATCAATTCATCAACGACCAATATCGAACACTTCATTCCGCTTCAGTCACGTTGTCATATGCAACAATTGCTCAGCTGGAATTAGAAATCGTTCATTGATCTTCGGGAAATTCCGCACAGCGAGGCACAATCGCGCACGCTTATGGGCTTACCACACAGGAGCACGCTGCGTTTGTAGATGGAGCTACCAGATGCCGGTGATGCCATCACTTCCACGAATTCCACCACAGCGGTTTTATTTAGCGGACTATTTATAGATAAAAGCCTTGCTAAGGCCAGGTTTTATTGAAATGCTGGCAATTCCTTGAAATTTTCAACAACAAAAATTTCCAGGTTGCATAGCGAAGATCCTCAATTCCTTAAACGCAGAATAGTTCCTTTTGTATCACTATACTGTATTATCAACCTACAGTATATGAAATACTGTAGTTATAATTAATTTGTGAGCTTCATCTATAGTGAGTTTAAGATATTTTATCATCAGGATTAATCGATTCTGAAATAGTACTGTGAGCAGAATGTTACATCGGAAAGAAAAAAAATGTACAGTACTTTCTAAAAACTATTGTACATAGTACAGTAATAATACACGACTGTATATACAATACGCCAATCTGCTGCCGCTGGATTTCTTCTACCATGCATAGTCCACTCTGGCTTATACAACATGAAGTATAATGAATAAAATAAGATGAATATTAAAAGCTGCCTCTAAGGAACAGTAAGGTACACCTAAACTATATACAGTTACCATGTGTACACATTGAACAACAATACAGTACATTAGTTTACGAGTAGAGTACGATACAGTAACTCAATTTACAAATACAGTACAATACAGTAACTCAATTTACGAGTACAGTACAATACAGTAACTTAATTCACCAGTACATAACATTAATTTACAAGTACAGTACTGTACATTAATTTGTATGGGATTAATTAAATAGTATGACATTTGTACACACTTCAGCAGCTCAGCTGACATTAAATGTGCTGACTACATTAAGGGGTCATAATACAGTTAAAGAACTTGGATTAATTGGATGAATGAGTGGAGAACAAAATTCTCTTTATAAAAATTTATTTTGGTGCCTATAGAATTTTGGTTTAAGACAACGGACCACTCTTATTCATTTTTCTTTATTTTAATCAGCATAAATTCTTGCGGAGGATAATATACTTTTTGTTGATATCAGGCACAGCTATGTTGATATCAATGAACTGGAATTTGGGAAATCAGAGTGAAGTCTATACAAGTCCAAATATTGTAAAAGCATGTACTGTACATACTACATATATATCATGACATACATTACCATACTTCAAACTGCATGATATAGCAGCAGTTGTACAATTATTTTAATTAGAGCAAGGAGCTTTTTTCTATTTTGGCTCCTCATGATTGAGAATTCCTTAATTTTCAACACACAAATTTAGATGGAAAAATGCGTTGCAAAGAGCAAATTTGAGAAGCCCATTGAGACTGACCTAGAAATAAATTCGGTCCTTCATTGCTGTTTTAGTGCACAACTACTGTACATAATTTGTGCATAAATATATGGACTGAGCAGATTTTCACTCGAGGAAAATCAACATAATGCATAGGACTTATTGGCAAAAAGAGGAAGTAATTTATTTCTCAGATCTTATTGAAACATGATGTAACATCACACTGCAATAGACCAGTTCGCGCACGACTTCAGTAGAGCGTCAACCTGCTGCGCAGTCCTTCATGTTTTCAAGCATTTTTAAAGCTTCATTACTCATCATAAGACCCGCATTCTGCGTCATTTCCCATGCATCTCCTCAAGATTTGCGTATTGGTGTCTTTTCGTTGCCGGATGATCAATTTCCCTTCATCTAGCTGAAGAACAATGTGCGGACGAGGTGTGGAATACGAATGTACATAACCTCCGCCACTCCCCGAAGAGACTCGCTTATTGTTTTCAAATTTGTTATTGTTCATGACAGCGATTTCTGCCGGTGGCGAACCACTGTTCGCATTTGACGCTCCAAAATTGGGTTTTTCAAATGTTACAGGAGAAGGCTCACGCAAATTCAAGTTATTCATGACATTATCACGGAAATCATACATGTTAGGAGACACTGTAGTAGGTTTTGTGAACGGCCATGCCGTACGAGCGGTATTTGAACTGATTGCCATCTTTCTCTCGTGGATTCGGCGATCTATCACCCGCTCGATTGCATCTTCTAACGCTCCTTTCAGAATTTTCCTGAAAAATTTTGGATAAACGACGTTATTGGAGTTTGATCATATAAGAAACATAACGGAAATGCCACAAGGCTACTTCAGCTTCACAACAAAACGTTGAACTTTCATCATCAACGAAACACTGTCCGTAGCGTTAAACACAGAAAAATACCCTGAGAATGGGGGGGAATCTGAGAATGACATTTCCGCAATATGCACTGGGATATCTCCGCCAAGGATGCTGGAACATGTTTTTCACCCTTTTCCAAGTACTACACTGCTTTCGAGACATTTTTTTTACACACACACTGCAGGCAGAAAAGCCTGGAATCACAAAAAACTGTCAGATTGCTCCCAGAAAAAAAGTAGTTTAAGGCTCCTTGACGATGAAATATCTGTACGTTGACTTGACATACAGAACTTCGAAGTTCCCGAAGCGCCAGGAAAGTGGCGATCAAAACATCGATTCCAGCACAATTGCTCCACCTTTTTTAAGGGTATCACTGGCCGATGAACCCTATCTGAACATTATACTGTGCTGTATTACCTTGGGGCGGAATCCACATGATGACTCCACAGACGCGTCGATGATCATGTAAAATAAATCTCAACTGTGCATTTCATCAAATCAGATTACATACCTGCTGAGATTGCTACGTAAAAACTCCGCGTATCCAGTAGTACGAGAGGTTGGAGTAGAGGTTACAGTTGTCCTTGGCCTTGTCTTCTCAAGCTTTCCTTCTGCAAAGTACTTCTCGTGGCTGTTACGGTACCTACTCTCGCCATCTTCCGATTTCATCGTGGTCTTCCCAGTCTTGGACTTGATAACTTTCCTTTGCAGTGTCTCGCAAACATGTTCCAATGCCAAAGGTACATCACTCACGTCACTTTCTTTTTCACTACTGAAACTCAGAGCCGACAAAAGCGCTCCAGTCTTATACTTCTTTTTCTCTTTACTGGGCTTCTTATATTTCCTTTCCATCTTTTCCTCACTGATATCTTCTTTATTCTCTTCTTGGGATGATGCGATAGAGACGATCTTCGGCTTTGGGATTTTAATACTAGCAGAAGGCAATGACTTCAAGGTAATCTTCCTGGTTGTGCTCATGGTGGTGGTGGTCCTAGTGGTTTCTGTTCTAGGGGATGGTTTAGAGGTAGAAGGGGTCTCCACAGTGGTCGTAGCAATCTTCTTAGTGGCCTTTGACGAGGGCTTGGTGGTCGCAGCTGTGGTAGTTATTGTCGAAGTTGTCGTAGCAGCAGGAGTTGTAGAATTGGTAGTAGGAGGTAGAGTAGTGGTGGTTTCAGGAGTGGTTTCAGTGGTAGTATCTGTAGTAGTCGTAGCAGCAGTAGTTGTAGTACTTTTGATGGTTATTGTAGTGATGGTAGGTTGCGTTGCGATCAAACTGGTGAGTTTCAGGTTTTTTGTTGCTGTTTTCGACTGATCTCTGCGACGCAATGCTGACCTTGTTCCGGATACAGCTTCGTTCGATTCAGCCATTGAACTGCCAAATTTGGAACCAGTCTTGATGACAACTAGGCGTTCTGCTTCCGCGGATGATGGTTTGGTTGTTTCATCAAACGCCATAGTTGCCTCTGTCCTCAAATAATATTTTTGAATATTAGTAAAAGAGAACCAACAGTTATTAAAAACACACCTCCCAGAGCACCTGTATTTTTCGTTTTCCCTTCTAGACTGACATCAAAGGTATATAGGGGGTTTGATTATTTTTGTTTCACTTCTTTGATTAGCACACGCACTTGATTAGGTTTATGATGCGACACTTCGTTTTGTCATCTAAGTTAAATGTTAGCTGATGTCATCCACAATAGGATTAGTCAATTTAACTTACTTGGATATGTTAATCAAGTGTTCAGGTTTTGCTAATTAATCTGCTATGATATAATAATTAAGTGATAGGCTATGTCAGTTAAGTGATCAGATCAGATATACAGTACTTTATTAACATATGTACTCAAATACCGCATGCACATTTCCCTCAAGAGCTTAGCTAAAAAAAAATTTGGTGCGCATCATACTTGATTATGCAGCCTTCCCCGCAAATTTTCCAGGTCTTTGGTGTCATACTTGAAACACATTCACTCAAGTTTAATCAACACTTTCAAGAGACTAGAATGAATAAACAATGTGTATTTTGGCTCAAATCAAACTTTTTCTTTCAAATGTTTTGGCAGATAAATATTTGAAAGAAAAAGAAATGCACCACTGTTAAATTCAAATTTTTTGGCGTAACTTTCAAATTTTAGAATTGCTTAATCAAATTAATTTTATTTTCGTCACAAAAACCTGATCGCACATCTTATGTGATGATTGATTTTCCTCAAAAATGAAGGTGTGCATCTTACATGAGGGCACATGGTATTTGAGTTAATACACTAGTTAACTGATGAGCTAAGTTTGTTCCCACTAGGTTTAAATAGTCATACACTACTGCGAAAATAGTTTATATTAACAAGGTGTTTAATCAAGTTAATTTGGCATTGCTCAAATAACGGGTTCATTATTGAATATACAGTATTTTCTCTAATAAATGCCTGGTCTCCAATAGAGGCCTGTCTTTCATGAAGGTTGGGTGTCAGAAAGCCTTAAAGCAAAGAACAAGAGGTCTCTAATAGTAGCTGGGTCAGAGAATGAGGGGGGGGGGGGGGAGAGAGATTGAAAGAATTCTCTCAATTCAAAAAAATCTGTAGCACTCTCGTATTAAGTGAAAAAGAAAGAAACCCTTTCCCATTATCAATTATTAAACCATTCTTTTCTCATTTTCCAAGAAAAAGTTGCAATCAAAGGGTTTTACATATTTTTTCACATCACTTTATCCCATTATTTTTCTCTTGTTTTGTAATTTTGAATGTTGTAAATAAGCCCCATTCTCTGATAAATGTCCAGGATGTTTATTTAAGTATATATGCCTGATAAGGTATTAAGAGAGTTCGGATCAGGGCCAAGAATCATAAATTTGGACAGATTAGAAAAGAAACAGGAAATTTAAAAATCCCCAATTTGAAACAGAAGGCTCGTTAAATTAACTCCAGAAAAATAGCGCAACTTTTTTGTTTGACAGGATACCATCATCCGTGAACCTGACGCCATTCAGGTCACAGAGAGAAAAACAAAAACTAATGCAAAAATCGAGAGAAAAACAATGTCAGATCATTTCCGCTAGTTCAAAGCTGGGGGATTTTCCGCTCGTTTCCCATTGAGGTAGCCTTAAAAGTCCAGCATCATGAAAAAAAAAAATAATGAGAAATGGCCTGTTTGCAATGAACGGGATAATCCGTGCCTATTATTGGCAAGACAAACAACGAATCCCAGGAAAAACGCCCGTTTCATTTGACCACAATTCTGGAAGAAACGCTTCTTAAAAGTTAGTCCACTGACATTGAAAAATGAAGCACAAAAAAAAATAATAATTCACATCAAGATTTCAAACGATAAAACCGGAGACATCTGAATCCCTTCATGGTCTTTACTCGCGGGGAGACGATTGAACTATTGTACAATATTGTGCTTCCGATGGTTACCTTCAGAAAAATTGACAATTTTGATATCGCCAGAATAAATTCGTAAAGCTACAATTTGTATAAAAATCAATGAAACAAAAGCGTAAGCGCACAAAAACATATAACAGCCTCACAAAGGAATACTTCGTACAATAAAACCTCGATCACACGGGATAATAACTGGGTGTCCTGCCCAAATACTGTAATAAATTATTATGGATAACGAAAAATCAAGAGTAAAATCAAGGATGAGAAAATACAGTAAAGCCTCGTTACAACAGAACCATTGGGGTTAAAAAAAAGCTTCGCTATAAAATTTTTTTTTAGAAAAATTCAAAAAAAATTGTGGCTGTCTGACAAGGATCTAAACAAAATTCTTTGCAAGCAATAATTATTCGACAGTATATGCTGTAATAAAATACTAATATATATATAATTATTAGATTTACGGGTATGTTAAAAATACATCATTAAAGTATAGTACTGTACATGTATCTAAAATCTCTACATGCGACGAGTCCCAGATATCTTTGAAAACTTGAATACAAAATTTTGTGAGGCGTAAGTGCTTTCTTATCCACCGATTTTACACCTTAAATTCCACCTTTATCTCAAGTTTTAAAAATGTTCCTGGTAGATTTCAGGTTGGCGATAACAGAGGCTGAAATAGAAATAACATGGCCCTCGATTATGATTCTTCGGCTTTCGACTGATTGTCCTCATGTACACAGTCTTTAAATATTTTTCATCAATATTCTGATGCCGAAAAAATCGGGAAAAACTGGAGGGATTGATTTTAAAAATTTATCGCATTATTCCTTTTAATTTTAAAAGCGAGATTTAAAAAAACATTTAACGAAAAAATCTTTAAAAAAAATCGCATCCATATATCACGAATATGCAAGACTTTATTTTGCCAAGCAGCAAAACATCCTTTTCTACGAAATTACAATTGAATGGGATGGGCATGTATAGTTCTAGTCAACTCAAAACTCGAACTAAACTTCGCAGTGAAACCCAGTAAATATTTTTTTGAAATGCGCATCGATAAATAATGGCGTGCGGATAACCTGGAAAAACACGACTGATGCCTAGTGATCATGAAATTTAAAATTCAAGATCTCGCTTATCCGAACTGTGGGCTCATCAAAAGTCTCGCAATTGCCCACATGTCATCACGAGACGCAAAAAAAATAAGTTGTGGATAATTTTTCTTCATACCTTGACCAATACTTATTTTGATCTACAAACGAGTGTCAGTTCTCTATTGACATATGAAGACAAACAGCCAGCATTTTTCGGTATGCATAACCTATCAGGAGCATTTCGAAGACTTGAATCAAGAACTTTCCACAACTTCATACAGTAAAGCTTCAAATTTACGAGTACAAACATTCAATTAATTAAGAATTTATTCTTCTAAATTTCTGAGCGGACGCCACATTCGGAATTCCTTGAGCTTGTTTTTCGGTGCCCTATGCGGAAAAATCGCAATAATCGGCAAACAATAATTTGTCAAAATAATCTCAAAAGTCCACATTTTGTATGAGTTAGATCTCGAAATTTGAATTTCATGATCACTAGACAATCAGTCGTGCTTTTTAAGTTCATCTGAAAGTCATTTTTTATCAATTCGTATTTTCAAAAAAAATATTTACTCGGCAGAAGAATCATATTCGAATATATGATTCGAGTTAAGTTACCAGATTCGAATCAAATTTTTTTTCAGAGGTTTTAGAGCTCAACACGGTTGGGACTTCACCCGGAAAATCATACGGTATAAAAAATAAATATACGGGCTGCTCACGATTACAGTATTTAAAGCCATCAGTAAAATTAATCCAGGTATGCAGAAAATTAAATGGGCACTTGATGAAAATTCGCTTAGCTGAATTATGTTTCCTTGAAAAAAAAAGCAAATTGCAGGCATCCTGATTGTAACTTCCCCCACTGAACAATTCGCCAGGATGCAGCGAATAAAAATTTCGGGGAATTTTCAGCAATTCTACTACAGGCCATTCTTCAAATTTTCAAACCAGGTGCTCGAACATCGGTTAATTTTGCATCGTAATCCATCGGCAATGTTTCTTTTTTATGTTACAATTCGAAAAAAAAAGTTGTTGATCTTGATTCAACAGGTTTCGGTCGCCTCGTTGCCTCGGAATTCTTTCGAGAAAACCCCGGCGATTTTTTACGCACCGAAGTCAGCACATTTCTCCCCAAAAAAAAGAAGAAAAAAAATGCCCGGAAACAAATTGGGGGAAATAACACTGATCCGTTGGCACACTTGTTATTCCACCGAGTAAAATTGTTTTCCGCGCAACAAACACATACACACACACACACACACGTGAACTCGATATCACGCGGAACTGACGCTATATACAGTACAGTACAAAAATCAAGTATTCGTAAAAATCCGGGAATGGATTTCGGGAGGAAAATATAAAAAAGGGGCGCAAGAACGATTCAGTTTTACAAAACCAACACTCATCTCACCGTATTTCGGGGGAAGGAAGTGCAGCACCAGGGACTTTGACGGCTGTACAGCGCCTGCAGCAGTGATGAGTGCAGTGAGCAGCACGTATGATCCCCAGAAGAATGCTGTCATTGCCGAAACGGACGCCGTGAAACTGATGCTAAGCCTTCTTCCCGGGCAATGCCAAGGAAGTAGGTGGCAGAGTCAGCGATTGGACACCAGCTCCCTTGTAGACCTCCCTTTCCATCTTACAGTGGGGAGGGGCTTCTCCAAAGTCCTGTAAAGTTAACTAGAAAATGGGTTAGCTCACGCAGATGAAATAGAATAACCCCCTGTTGAGGATTTTGGCGGAAAAAATTAACATTACCTACGCTTTGATGAAATGATTTCAAGATGGAACATTCTTAGGGGGTAAAAGCAACCTATGAATCTAAGATACAATAAAAATAGTTCATCAATGTTGGTCAAAAATGAGAAATCTTATGAGAAACCCCTCGCGCATTTAATAATTTTTACACCAGCCTTTTGATACTGTCTTTCTCTCAAAATCCCCGCTATTGAAATAAACTTTCCAGAAACGCAATAGACAATCGTACAAAACGTTTCTATCTAAAGAAAAATTTGACGGATAATCCTCACTTTCTAAACTTCTTCAACCTATTAATCAAACTTTCGCTTTTCGAACCTCAGGATGTTCGTCTAATAGTTCTAAATAATTAATACTGTAGTTCAAGAAGTTATTTTATTCCAAATAAAATGCCCCACAACGAAACCCAAGTACAGTAATTTAGACACGTTTGAAGTAATTTCAATTTATTTAGACGAACTCTAAAACATATCAATACATTGCCTCTCTTTTCAGTTCCTCAACTTTTGAAACTTATTCACACTTCGCATCAGTTGGGCGACTTGATCTCTCAATTCCTTTCAGAAAACTTCCAAAAAGTACTGTGCTTCATTACGACGCATATGTTTTACGCCAAACATTTGGCATGAAATAACTTCTAGTCATCAGATACCGACTCAAATGGTGAGGAGTTTTAATGGCCATTTAAGAATCTTATTTTTCAATAAAATCTTGTTACGCATTTTGCCAAAAGACGATACTGTATCACGATATAAAGTATTAATTAATTACTGTACTGTTTTAGTACGTGAGCTAATTAGTAATTATGATATAATTTCCCTTGACCACTCCAGAATTGGTAGAAGATCTAGGGTAAAAGTTGCCTCGTTGGATGAATTTCGACGGAAACCGACGCATCATCTTCCTCACCGCACATCTCTGATTGGAACCTGTAGATTAAAAAAAAAATGAATTTCATAAATTCGTCCGAATGAGAGGAAGGTGAAGAATCTGTCACGAGATAAAAAGGCATCCTACTTTGATCAAGAACAAGTAAAAGGGTACGTTTACTTGGAAAGGAGCCAGGGGATAACATTTTTATCACACTGAAACTTTAGGAATGAAAATTTTAAAAAAATTCTCCGATCACAAAATTTGACCTGGTCAGGATGCAAGCTCCAATACGAAAAGCAACGTGAGGAAAATTACCCAGAAAAAAGCTATATCCAAATGAAATATGCGCGATGCATGTACTGCATTGCTTTTGGTAACTTTCGATTGGTCGAATTCGAATATTCATTCGTAATTCGTGAACAGTTGAATCATCATAGAGCATTCCAGATTCGATGATTTGCTTCAATTCCCCGTACTCCTGAAGTTATATAATACTTGAAATAAATGAAACTGGAAAAAAAGAGACGAAGATGGGGTCCTTTAGAAAATGTCGTTGATTGGTCTTTTATTCGTCTATCATTTTTCCTTGGCGCTTTTCTTCAGTCACCAAATCGACTTTGATCAGGCCGCAACTTCTTCGTCGCATTGTGAAATAAACTTCCGTTTGCTTACGATGCTGGGGTTATCAAAATCGAATTTGACGTTGGGGCGGGTTGTGTACTCACGAATTGTTTGATGTCAAGGAGCAGGAAGTTTAATCTCCCTCGTCTACATGATCACGCAGAAAGCGGATGTGCTGATCACACATACCTTCACTTCCGCCTACAACATAAAATGACAATCTCGCCCGTGGGCAGACATGATCTCAAATCTAAAGAAATAACTACCGAAAGACAAATTTCTATAAATTTTCAAAAAAGTGGAACGGGTTTCAGGATGCATATAATGATCGTCTGCATTGGCAACCGTACAAATCATCGGTACAAAGGAGTACACAAAATTGATATGCAAACCCCCCTCCTCCCGAGTACAGTAGAAAATCTAGAAAATATTTTCAGTCCATGCGCTAGCAAAAGACTAGGACACACAAAAAAAATGCCGAAATTTTCGAGAAAATTTACAATCTAATGCGGACGTCAAAAATATTTCAACAATTTTCGGTCCGCTTCAAACAACCCTCAAAAGGCGGGGTTTTTCTTTCAGCCAGAATATCTCCTTAATTTTTTTCAATTGTTTGACACACCTGATACAGAAGTCGCAAGCATTGATGTCAATATCTACAATGGATAAACTTCTCAAGAAATTCATTTGCACCAGCTTCCAGTCGAAAAAAGCAAGTCTGCAGTTATCCACAAACGCAAACGCGAGGGAAAGGAAGAAAGTTTCTTGAAAGATCCGCTCGACTGCAGTGGCATAACATGATGGGAAGCTTTGTCCAACGCAGTCCAGATGTTGAAGTCATCAGAATCAAGTTTCCGTCCATCAAACGCACACCCGCAATTCAGCTGAAAAATTCAGAAGTTTTTTTTTCTTCAATTATGTCATTTCTAACCACCTGAAGCATCAGCATTGAAGATTTAAAAAATACTCACTTAAATTTATACCGTATTTAAGCTATTAAAGACTGCAGATTTCACAACAAAATAAACCGGATTTTGGCTGAATTCATCTTTTTTTAATCTGAGGATAAGCTACAGCGCTCAGAATAGATCAAGTCAGAGGGATTAGGGCTGAAAAAATTCCTGCCAAGAGAAAAAAAGCAGGTGATTTCATGATGTTTTTCCCCGGTTATTTAAGTATTGAGTGTGGTTTTGACCAAGCCGAAGCTAGTTACACAAATTTCAGAAAGAACTAATAGATCAAATGCAATTTATTTCTTCATCCGCGTATAAACAGCAGTTTTTACTCAAGATTTCTCGTGTTTCTGCGGCCTATCCCAATGTTCCCTCAAAACAATTTCCGAAACATTAGGGTGTGGCATGTAATTGTATAAATAGTTAAATACGGTACTAAAATCAGTAAATTGCATTTGTTTCAACTCTGTTAAGATGAACAAACTGTATTTACAGCCAAACCTCAGCAAGTCAAATTTCAAGGATTCAACAAAATTTCGAGTTAGGGAGGCTTTGAGTCAGGGAAACATGCATTTTTCATGGGGAGAAGAAAAAATTACTGAAAATTGTTAATGGTGATATTCCGGGCCTTGAATTGTTTCTTCATGAGTTGACAGGATGTTAAACTTTGATGCAAGTGTTTATTTGCCCAATTAGTCTTTCACTTACTGTCAAAACACATTGTTACATTTTTTATTGTTTTTTTTTCTTTCCTGTTTCACGAAAATCATAGCCAAAGGGGCCCAAGAAAATTCCAGTAATGGAGGCTTGAGAAGGGAAGCCTTTGAGTTAGGGAAGTTTATAATGGATTGTTTTCAGGGGAATTCAGACAGGGACTTCGAAAAAGTTTGCCATAAGCAGGTATTCGAATTGTGGAGGTTCAAGCTACCAATAAGGTTCAAGAGTACATTAAGAAAGCACAACTCACTTTCTCTTGGAACGCAAAGTTCTTGGCGTGGCGTCCACGGCATTTGCTGCCTTCAAAACGCGTTTGCTTCTGGTGCTTGCATCAATTTGCACCAATGCATCAAACGCCTTTTCCGAAGGAGTCAAAGGGTGGATGCCAATGCGATCCGGAGAAGGATTGATTTCGTGCAGAATATTCTCCCTATCTTCGTCCATACGCACAGATTCGGGCTCCAAATGAGCTCCTACTGTGGTTGCTTGTTCGGGTTCGATGTCATCCAGAACTTCCTCAAAAAGTCCGACTACCATTGCAGGTGCAGACGGTCGAGCAGATTTCTTCCGACTCTTTCTTGGTTTGATTTCTTTCTCTGTGAAAGATAAAATTACATTCAGAAGTTAATAACGCTGACCAAAAAATAAAGGAGAAGACTCAAGATCATGAAAATTCCGCATCTTGATAAAAGAAACGGCCACGCAAAACAATGCGGTTCCTTTTATCACCTTTTGCGCCACATCACTTGATTTTCATCATCATTCAATAAATTTCGCACAATGTCTCCCTTTTTGTCTTAGTCAGTCTTCAGAATGGATGTGCACTGGGTTCGATTACATGACGTTAGTTCATCCAAATTTAAATTGCGGCTATTTTCATAGAATTAAATCAATTCGGGTCGTTCCTAGCCAGTTTAATGATTCCTGACGCACCTACCTGACACACTAAAAAGCAAGGATCGGCATTAGAATGAGAAGAATCGAAACCCAATTATCCTTTTCCGCAGAATAATTGTGCAAATAGCGTATTATTCCAGATAAACATTTCTGTCAGGTTTCTTCAAGTTAAATTACAGAATTCTCAATTGATTGTGGAAACAGACTTGGTGCTGAAATGAGGCGAAGTGAAACCTGACCATAATTTGTTTTTCCAAACACCGATGCGAAAAGTACAGTATGTCATTTTGAAATCTATATTTCTGACAAGTGAAAAGTCAGGACATGAAATACATTTCAAGATGGGATTGAAACAGGACTTCTACCGTGCTCACTTTCCGCTACGGGTGCTAACTCCTCATCTGCATTAGTGTCACTTCGAGCTGCTTCCTCCATCTGCTTTCTGACAGCTGCAAAAAAATTCAAAAATCACATATTCGATGAGATTAAAGACGAAAGATGTATGAAAATGCAGTAAAACAAGTCAATAAATCTAACCCAGGATATGTTGTCGCATACCAGACGCGGCGCGAGAAACCTTGGAATTTTTCGTTGCATTCTTCTTCTTGACGATTCCTTGCGTCGATTTGCTGATGACCGCTTTCCGAGATCTTCGACGTTCAGGCTCCACCCAGTTATTTTCCTTCAGAACTTCGAGGGCACGGAACTCTTGATAAACATTCGAGATCTGAAAAATAGCGAATACTCGTCAACTTTTGCCAACAGTCTTGTCATTAATTATTCCAAATTCTGCATTGTTAGACCCTGAATAACGAGGATATTTCGGGGAGTCATAAACATAATTATCTATTTTAAATGGAAAGGGAAAAGGTTTGGCCTTTTCAAATATAATTGCACCGTAATTTCCAATTTGACATGCACAAAAATTTGAAGGAAATTCAACTCACCGGCTGTTGAATCAAGTCCCACAAGCCTTTTAAATCGCTCAACAAAACCGGACGATCAGGATCTGGGTTATTGGTCCGTTTTTCGAAGAGTTCCATGAACTGCGAGAATCGCTTGTTCATCACGATTTTTGCTGACCAATCAGCGGAATTTATTCGCGTCAGCACGTCTTCCTTGGACATCCTACCCTTCGGATTGGAATCATCAGTATCGTCTTGATCATCATCATCCCAAGCCTCAACGTCTTCGCGAACGAAGTTCCATTTATCCCGCATATCTTGAAGATTCTTCAATTCTGCATCATGCATCGCCCTAGGAAACGCAGAAGACGATATTTCGATTATAATGCTCAAAACATACTGCGAAGCTAAAACAGAAATATACAGGCTATGCAAAAGATTGACTGTTAATGGCCAAATTTTCCATTCCTCATCTATTTCGATATTTCAGGATACATTTTTTAATCTGAGTGAAAAGCAGAGAACTGGATCCAAGATCTGATACGCACGGTGAGATTTTTTGCAGAAGGTTGTACGAAACGTTAGTTGTCTCTGCTGAATGATTAACAAAAGTATTTTTCTTGCTGCAAATTCCACATAAAACGCATGAGTGTGCATCAAAATTAACGTTTCAATAAGCTTGAAGAATTCTCGAGTCAAGAAAAAGGTTTTTGATACACAAATTTAAAATTCCATGACAATCTAAATTGACTCTCGGAAGCTACAATAATCGAATGGAATCGGAAAGAATTTGAAATGAACTTTAAACAAGTCATTGTTGAAATGGGAAGTACAGCAATCGGACTGTCGAAGACATTCACCCACACTGGGACGATTTGTGATTATGATGTAAATACTGTATTAGAAAACCTCATCTGATGGATTACATGTTTAGTATTGTACTGAACAGAAACTTCGTGGGCACCTTACACCGAACATCCATTCGTTTAAATTTTCTGAACGAGAAGGGTACATACTTATAACATCATTATAAAAACAATAATCCGTTAAAATATACCTTAATTTAAAAAAAAACTGTAGCAACGAATTTTCTCATTGAGCAACCATCAGAAAAACTAACTTGAATTCCTCATCAGTCGGTATGATTGATTTTCGAGACAGTCGCCGAGATTTTCTAGATACTGGCGGGTCCGTTTCTTCATCTTTTTCGCTCTTTTTAACAGATTTCTTCGACGAGCGAGTAGATTTTCCGACAGTTGTCTCAGGCTCGGCAGCCGATGCCACAGCTTCTTCCGCTTCATGTTTATCTGTAACGACAGCTGATGGCTCTGTTTGTTCCAACACAGTTTCACCCTGTTCTTCCGTCTCGGGTTTTGGAGCAATTTTATTCGAATTCCACGGAGTCGACCCCGCATTACGCGTATTCCTTCGATCAGGCTGGGGAGATTGAGATTCCTCAGCTAGAAAGTGATGGACAGTTATCGGGGTGTGGACTTCAGCCGGAGCTACATCCGTATGTCCCGTCGATCGAGATCTGAAATATTAAATTTACTTAAATAAATCGAAGACGCTTGAACATATTTTATACCCTCAGCATTTCAATGAATCATCCCGAAAATCCACGTATATTGATTGAAAAACAATTCGCGGAGATTTTCCACGAAGTTCAGAAAATATCCCTTGTTTCTCAAGAAATAGGGAAGTTTTCTATATTAGACACACATGCAGAAGGGAAGCACATTAATACTGTACCGCTATTTCCGTGCAACAATTAGTTCATTCATTCTTCAAAATGCTAGCAAATTGAGATAACCATCGAATAGAACTCCAGATAATTTCTTTCGCTCGTCGAAGACTGAAAGTTTCACCAAGACTGCATAAGTTTTCTTCTTTGGACACGCATGCAAAATGTAATCACATTATTAATGCTATTTCCGTTCAACTATGGAGTCATTCACTCTGAAAATGCGCGGTAACTGAGATAACTTGTATAAAACTCCGTAAGACTACATACACTACGACTACACACATTCAGCAAAGAAAAAACTGACATTACCTCCTTTGAGCAAATCTGACAGTCCTTGCAGATCGTGATTCGGCTAAAACTTCTGCTTCTTGAACACGCCGGACTTTCAAGGCACTTCGCGGGGCAGGTCCCTCAGCTTTTGGCTGACTGGCAAGAATGATTTGCCTCTTTGGTCGCACCGACGCGGAGTTCAAAACGCGCGTTCCAATAACTAGCCTGTCTTTGGCCTTGAAGATTTGTTGCGGTCTCCTCTTCACTGCACTGGATTTCCCATGGTTCACCTGACAAACGGACTCCTCATTCACCTTCAGAATACAAGGGAAAAAATAAAATAAATAAGCATAAAAACGCTGGGTGCTTCAAAGCCCAGATGAGCCCCAAATGAATTTCGCAGAAGTATTCGAAATTGCGCAAATTCGGTGTTCTCTTCATCGCAATCAAGCGTAGAAAGTTCAAGCACATCAATCAAATTATTTCAAATATAATTTCATCGCCTGAAAGCAATTTAAGGATTAAACTGAGAAATGAACCAATTCTCGAATCCCTGGGAGGGACATGAAAAATCTGCCAAAAAGGAAGCAGCGCACAAATTTATTTTTCAAAAATTGCTGGATCATCTCTTACCAACAAAAAGCGCAGAGGGTCATTACAAAATATTAGAGACCTGGGAAACTTTCCGCAGATGTTTCAGAAGACTTCAACGTGGTCCAAAATAAAGGAATAAAATGTCAAAATGCGTTTAAAATTAAATTGACAATGAAGGACGTTCCTTGCAATAAAATAATCATTTCAAAATCATCCGAAATGGTGAATTTTGGGTTGCTTGCAGGGATGTAAAAAACTTGTCAGGAAATGAAAATTTAATACTCTTTTCTGACCCAAACCACTTGGAAGACTCACCTTTTTTACAGGACGATACAAGGGCAGGTCATTGTAAGCAATCTTCACGATGGTTTTGAAGGGAGGCTTCTCTCCAGTTGGCTTTCTTGACGGTTGCACTTTTTTTGCAATTTTACCCATTGCGAAATAGCTATTTCTGAAATCACTCTCCTGAAAGAATAAAGAAATAAATTATCAGTCTGTCTTCAGAAGCAGCGAAACCTCAAATCACAGATATTGCGCTGAAATCGTCCCCAAAAGCAATCTCGTTTACTGACATTGTCCAAAAAAAAAAAAAAAAAAACTCCTTGACCATTGTGAGTGAACAAGAAAATCCAGCACACGAATTCCGATTACACAAATCCATTCACCAAAACAGATTCACAAGACCGTAATCATCCATTCGCACAACCAAAATTGCATCTACCTCTGACCGCTTGAATCATTCTCATGGCATACGTTAGGAGATCAAACGTCATCGAATATGTGTCGTGGAGCCGGTACTGAAGTGCCACTCCACCTAGCGTCATCTTCATTATTGGAAGGGACACTAGCACCCATTGGCTCTCCAACGGAAGAATAGTGCATGGATTCTGAGTTTGGAATGAGGTGAAGACGTGACGACGAAACTCTCCTGTCAAGACGTCCGCCTGGAAATGAAAAACCACCTCACGTGAATTAAAGAGTTAAATGACAACAGTTGCGTATTTCGGGGTGCAAGAAACGTTAGAGAATTCAGGCAAGCTTTGATCCACCATCTACTGCAGCAAATATCTTGAAACTAGAAGCGTAGCATTTTGATCGGGATACGGACTTTAAACCGCAAACGTCATCACCTATTAAAATTTTAAATATGCGGAGAATATCTCTATAGAAATAAGAAAACAAGCTTTCTCAAAAAATTTCATGTTTCACGCATCCATTTTTACTAGATCTGGCCTAAACGAGACAATTTTGAATAGTGGGTTCGATAAACTAACATTTTGATTTGGCTTGAGAGGTGTTGGGCGAATAGTTCCACAGGAAGTGGCGGCACAAATAATTCCGCTCTATGCATTCTTAGTCCTTGTACTGTATTTTTTTGTAATGAATTGGACCAAAATGAACAGATTTTCTCAAGGAACGTTTTACTTCACAGCCGGGAAGTTACGTAGATTTTTCGTGGGGAAATTTTCCCAGTAAGACGGGCCAAGTTTGGGAAAGAACGACATTGATTGTGCACGTTTTTCAGCACTTCTACACAAGGTTTAAAAGACAACTTCATCGGGATAACAAATCGTGAATATCAACCAAATTAGTTTTCAGGGTTAAAACTTAAAAACTTTAAATTATTTTCACAACAATGAAAATAATTTTCAATTTATTTTTACTGAATCATTTCGCCAACACAAAAACTTTTCCAGATGTGACGCTATGTTAGTGCAATACGAACACCATCCCCGTCAGAATTCATACGAAAACATCGCATACGTGGACGGAATAACTGTTCAGTCCATGTCGTTTGATTGTTCCATGCGTCTGCATTCAGGCCGAACATGCAATCCCAGCAACCATTTCAATAACTCGGCAAATCTAAACTAAAATCGAACACCTGATTCGAACCAACGAGGCTCGAGTTACCGACAACCTTACAAGTACGAATAAACGAAGGTCACGAGGTCCAAATTACCAACCCAAACATGCAATGCTTCGCGAATTCAATTTAAAAATCGATTCTGACCCGACATTCGACCCGTTACAGGTTTAAATACTCCAAAAATCTTCAACCACAAGAATTTTCAACACAGCTACCCTACTTTAATCTCCCGGCACACTCGTTTTGAGGAAGAATTCCGAACCATTTATTAAAAAAAAAAATATTTATCCTCCAAATGATTAATCAAAAAATTCTACCCGATCTCTCCCCCGAATCAAACCCTGCTTGAAGGCTGGACACAAACCCACGTCGCGTCTTCGAGCCAAATGACAGTCGCAAGCTCGACACCAGCTCACCTAACACAGGCATGCGTTTTACGTATCTCATCCACCGATTACCTGATCCAGCTTGAGACAATGCCGATGAGAAAAATCCTGAACTAGAGCCTCCTCCGCCAATTTTTGAACTTCCGCCTCGGGATGAAGTTGAGCTAACTCGAGGAAGGTTAGAAGTATTCGGTCGCTTCCTTCTACGCTCTGAAATCGTGAAAGAAAATGAAATATGTAAATCAAATACTGTTACACTTTTCAGCATACGTTAAGTTTTTCGAGGAGTTCAACACAACAGGAACGTAATGTTTTCAAATACAGTACAGTAATACAATTACGAAAGCATCAAACGGTTGGAGACGTTCTATTCAAATTCGTGTTGTTTTCGCAAAAGATTAAATCTTCAAAAAATTAAACTTATTCAAAACAATTTTAATGCGGCCTTCTACAGATTAATGATCACAAAAATTCTCCAAAAATCAGATATCCCGCCAAAAAATATATTACGGGTAATCCACACAATCCTCACGAATAATGCTGAAAAAATTACGGTATTCTACTAATCTACACGACTGAATTTTTTTTTTGTGCAGGATTACATTACGGATTATAGTACAGTATACAGTATTTTCATGACTGAATATAAAAAATAGTCTCACTCTTCAACTCTCGCCACTTTCATAGAGACAATTCTCATACTACACTCGATGTCGGCTTATTTTTGTAAAGCACAAAATTGTATGAAAGGATAGTCTCGAAACACACCTCTTCGAACCAGTTCCTGTCCTTCTTGGACTAAATCCTCCGTCAGCTCAGTCTCTGCCATGAACTGCTGGAAACCAAACACCGATAAAATTCTCGAACCAAGACTGAACCAGGTAGCGGCACATAAAATCACAATTCCAATCGGAAAATAGATGTTGAAGTAGTCGGAGATGAATTCAATAACATCCATGTGTCCCATAATCTGAAAATAAATTTTTCAGACTTCAGTAATTTCTCATATGAAACAGGCAATACATTTTACCATTAAAAAAAAACTTACGTGAGTGTAAGAAGTCTCAAGAATCTTGACAGATTTCGTCACGTGACTGTCAAGGTGGACCAGACTCAGGAAATTGAGGCACAACGGTGGCGTGAGTCGACACAAAAGCCTACAATCGAACATTTCCGTTAATCTCTTCTTTGTTTAAAACTCATTAATTTATCGTAGCATTTTTTCTGCTACATTGGATAACGAAAGTCAAGATTCCTTAAGGCACGAAACAAATCGGCGATTTCTTCGCTGAAAACTTCACGCAAATACACAGGAATGCGATTTCGTAGAATCTCCGAACTGATCATTCGAAATTCAACGGAGTAAGATTTCATGAATTCGTCGAGTAAGTTATACTGTACTTACATTCCTGAGAAAAGCAAGCTGTACTCGTCCGTTTGATGATGAGGCGCAATGTAATACAAATTCAAGATCCTTATCTTGAAAATCGTGTAGTAGGTGCAGATGCACAAATACACAATTGTCAGGAAAGATACAATCTGGAAAAAATCGGATGACGTATCAAACTTCCACAGGATATAGATACGAGCGGAAGGGTTTATGGTGAAATTATTTTAGGATGAATTGATTTTAGTAAAAAAATTAAACTTCCTGGTAACTCATCAAATCTTAGAATTTCCGAAGATTTCATACACGGAACTTCTGGAAATGACAGTGAGACACTTTGGTAAGGCACTAGTGCATTTAAATATCTGAGAAATAAGGGTTCAGAAATTAATTTAATGTCCGATTTTATCGGCACTTAGCTGTACCAAAATTTAAAAATTTGCTCGCATTGCAAACTGACCTCGACAGAGAAATAGTCGTGGGTGTTCCTCGCCAGCCCGAGAAAGATGGCAAACAAAGACATGGTCGGGCTTTCCACGAAGAAAGTCACTTCCGACCAAATGACCGCCAGTGTCCACAGAGCACAAATGACTGCCATTGCTCGCAATACGTACTGCTTCATCAGGCAGTGCCAGTACCACTGTACTCGCGGGGGCAGCAAAGTTGTCAACATCCAGGACGGAGACGACGATGAACCCCCCGAATCCACCAGATAGCTCCGACTGAACAACCGATCCCGATTCGCAACATTCCGGGCAATGTCCTCTTCCACTTGCACAGTTTCCAGCAACATTTTCCACTGCGTCGATGTGCGGTGCACGGATTGCAAGGCTTTCAAAAGCTGGAGCGAAATTGAGCCAAATTAAGGAATCTGATCATGAAAAAAATGAAAAAAGAAATCATTCACCTGCTTTTGAAGTTTGACGAGACTTTTTTCAGAAAGGTTATTTGCATCGTCGAACGGTGAAACAGGACTGCTAACAGTCCTGGCCGTGGAAAAGGCTGCGTCATATGATTCTGGTAACTTCGCTCGAATTTCCACCAAGCGCAAGTAAAGCGGGTGACCCACGGGTATTTGAGTCGACAGAGTCTTCAAAATCTAGAAAAAACCAAATCAAGGATTTATCCGTTTTGTAAGTTTACAACTTACAGTAACTGGATATATCATTCAAATTTGATGGTACGGCCAAAATTCAAGGGACCAACGAAAAATCGACTTAAGGTCTGGGGAGGTGTTAAGACTTGAGCTATCGAAGTTAAATTGTACAATATAAATATGCTACACTCCAAAATGAAAACCCGGCAATATATTTCCACTTTATATTTAATTCAACCAATTAATTATTTCAACCGATTATTTTAATTCATGCATTGGAAATGTCTTATTCGAAAAACCTTCAAGACACTCCGTAACATATTAATTTAAAAATTATCATTTATGCAGGTGGATTCTCTCTACCACAATCGTATCAAAAACAATGTTTACGTTATAACGATTTTTTCTTGGTTCCATGAGGTTCTTCACAAAGAAATGATCTCCACAATAATTCTTTTTGTTCCTTTACTTTCGTTGTAGTGATAGAGTCCACTTGTACTGTAATGCGTATTTGATGGAAAGGAAATCCTAGCTTGGATCCGCCGGGAAGGAACAAATGATCGTACTGAAATAATATTCAACGCATTACTCACAGTACAAAACCTGCCCTTAACAGCAGGTAAGATCTTTCAATGAAAGGCGGGATAATTATAAAATGGAGAGAGATCTGATCAATAAATTCATCGCCATATCATCCACATGAATTCTGGCACGATGAATTAGTCGAAAGTTTGTCATACAAACCCGCACAATATCCTCAAGTTCTTCTTCAGCGTCTGTCTTTTCGATCGCCAACTTTGAAACTTGAAAGTAGGAGTATCGTAATACGTGGCCTCGATGCGAGCGCAACCATAAAGTTCTGGGAACTTCGACAAGTCCGTAACCAAGCAAAAACACGAGCAAGGTCAATCCCCAGGTGTTGCTAGCTGTTGCAGCAATGGCTTTCAATTTAGGCCTGGTGCAAAAACGAATGTTATCATTTTTTATGAGCAAAAAAAAAACAAAACAAACAATCTCGAAATATAAGAATGAAAAATTTTTTTTTTGATTTCCACGAAGGGAGATGAGACGAGGTTGTAAACGATCTTCTGACCCCACGCAAATTTCCCAGAATGTCACTAAAGCACTTGCTTTTGATCATGTTCTCGACCGAAAATTACTCAACTCATTTATACTCGTGTATCTCGAGAAACATCGACAGCTTTCCACTGAACAATTTCGTCTAAGATCCTAAAATCTTTTAAGCAACGTGCAAATATGAAGGCTAATAATGAAAACGACTTGCGGTGGTAATGATTCCTCGCATCTGGATGAATACATTATACCAGAAGCTTCCGAGTATGCAAAGCATTCAAGGAATGCGGAGAATTGTCTCACCAGTCCAAAGTCACACCAGTTCCGGCAAGATAAATCAAAAAGGAAACGGCCAAAAACAGGTACGAAACGTAGTAGATGGCGTTATCCACCAGTGCAGCTCTTGCCTTGCTCAAGAACGTGAATTCTCCAGCTTTCGAAAAGCTCTGCATCAATGGAAATATAACCCACGTCAACACCTGCGACGTCCAGTAAACAACCCGCCATAAGTTCTCCAGCACGTTCGCTGACACAAAACTCCAAGGTTCCATGCATTCAGGTAAAACGTCTTCACTTGCGGATCCATTTGCTTTCACGTACGAATCGTTCAAAGAGGTTTTCGAACCATTATTCAAGATGAGGGAGTCATTCGTAATCGATGTCACATTTCGCAAAATGTCTGTTGAGTTCACTAGCCCATGATCGAACAAACATTGCCTGTATATGGTCTGAAAAAGAGGGTTCCAAAATACATTCGCAGAAGTTCCTCAACACTCGCAATATAATTCAAGGCATTGAGAATAAGATAAGGCGTGACACTCACCGAAGAAACGTCAGTCGGCAGGACGACAACGATTATGAACGAAAAATACCATGAAATGAGCACAGAAACGGTGACAATCAAGCGATGCTTGAACCAATCGCCAAACCAATACAGAAAACACCCCGACACGAAGAACAACGCAATCACGGCAATTGTCAGAATCCCGATCGCCATAGCTCTCACTCCTTGTTGTCAGATCCAAGATCCTGCGCAACGTTTCTGTCCTTCACTTGCTGCCTGTAAATGAACGCAAACCGAAACTTTTGCAGGTAGGGCGGATAACATTGCAGAAGTCAACATATGTTTCCTAAACCTCCGAAGATTCACAAACAATACTACGAACGCACCTGGCAGCTGCTTGCATCTGATCCAACTTTTCCAAAGTCACGGATTTCAGGGGCATGAGTTTCGGCTTGCAAAACACAAACCTCGGTTCGTCCTCGAAATATACAAGTCCTTTCTTGGGAAGTATTTCTCGCCTGGCATCAGATTCACTCATTTTCTGATCACTTCCTCAGGGCGCCACAGTGGCTAGGTGCAACTCGGACCATTAGAAACACGACTTCAAGCGCATACACACGCGACTGACGCACGTTAACTGCAAAGAATTACAAAACCCTCATCACTTCGATCCAATTTCAGTTTGAACTCCTAGAACTCGCGCGACGGTTATGAGTTAACTGCTGTTGGAACACGTGGGGAAATTAATTGTCAGGGGTAGAACTAACGACGGGAGACGTATATAGAGTTTCATAGAGAAACCATTAGATGTCGTTGTTGATTTTTCCTACAGCAAGAAACTCAACATACATCCCGTGGTAAGCAAAAATCAAGGTAAAATATTTCTCCAGTGATTTACTTTGGGATTCTCCATGTAAGCGGCTCGTTTTTGAACGTCATCGAAAATTTGCCCATCAAAGAAGCATGCTAGGTTGTACAGTACATCATTTTAGTTTTCCCTTCTGTGGAGGGAACCTCCTGACGTCTCATTATGTTCAGAAACAACGTCCATAGCCCCATGGAGTGCGCGCCAATATTTGAAAACGGTTCCATTGCATTGGACAGCCAGTCTATAGTTTGAATTAAATTTACAGTACTGAACTTGAACGGAGTGCTTAACAAATCGAGTAACCCAAAGCGGAGTGTATACCTTCAGTGTGCTGTGACCTTCAGGCGCAGCAAATGCCACTATACTGTAGTTCACTAAAGGTGACCCAACCCACCCTGGTTGAACCCTGTGAACGCTATGCAACAGCGACCTCCATGGGAAATGAAATGAAGTATTCATCGTTCATTCTATGAATGCCATCTACAATTCTACAGGATGGAAATGCAAGCATAGTTTTGATTTACAACCATGGCGTGTAACAAAACTGTGGTGCATATACTGTACATGGTGAAAGAGATGGAAGAACATGCTTTTATTAATTCATATATTTCCTACTTCGGCGGATGCTACTGGATACTAAATTGGCAATTAGTATTCGAATGCTTTCATATTGTTCACATTCCTTTTCGAAGTTTTGTACCCCTGTAAAATGTTAGTGTGACTTTCTGTAGTAGTGCTTTGTAACTGTGCATACTACTCCATGATTGAGTAAAATCACTGGTGTTTATTTTCATACAGAGAATATCCTTGTAGACAAGATTATT